TGTCTGTGTCTTACTGCCTGGTTTTCCTGAGCAGCTGGTCCCAAGCAGACATGGGAGGTCACCTCTTGTGTGTTTGAAAATTCACAAGAAATACTAATTGGAAATGAGATTCTAAGATATTACATGTGCACAAAGTTTGAAGAGAACATAGTGGCGTTTATAGTGCTCCATACAGGTCTTAAGTATAAATGTTTTCATGTGTTAAGCAAGTGCCACCTTAAACCATTCAATCACTCTGTATAGGCTACAGTTCACTCCACAGCAAAGCTTAGGCCTGTTGCCAACCTCTCCTCAGTAGACAACACAGGATTGCTCCATCACATTCACTCTTTTCGATCATGCTGCTATTTTCCACCCTTCTTGGCCAGGCCCTTTTTCCCCAGCAGAGCAACTGGTGAGCAACCAGTACCTTACTTTGATTATTAGTCTCAATTCATGCAGTCATTGCCTGTAATAAGGTGCAAATCTAACCATTAGTAGAGTTTCAAGAGTTTTTCTCTACGGGTGGCATACACAACAGTCATGGATGATTTGGGCTAGGCTCTCACAGACATCTTGTCTGGTTCTGTCAGCAGAGCTAAGCCAGGGAAAAGTTTGGTGTGTGCTGTAAAAACTAAACCTTGACCCAGCTGTGAGAGAGGCAGCTGTTTAAAATGCCTGGTGGTGAAGTCAAATGAAACCATTTCAGTATTGACTGAAATACTTAATTTTATCTGCACTGACTACTGCAAACATATTTTCCTCTCAATTACAAGCAGTGGGATAACCCAGGTCAAAGATCAACTAGATGGATTCTCCATCCTCAGCTGCCCTCTAAGGACAGGGCTGGGAGTCAGGACAAGCTTTAACACAGGCCATCATCCCTATGGCCTTACACCTTTGCCCTTGGACACAGGGGGAAAATGAACCAGATGCAATTGGCTGGTGATTTGGTTTTGAAGCCAGAGGAAGCTGGAGTCTCCATTGCCAGAAGCCAGTCAGCTGCCAGCAAAGTATTTGTGTGAAGACTTGCCTAACATCTTCTGGCTGACAAACTGCATTATATGTCTGTCCCTGTGCCCAGGAGTATGCATCCCGGTTTTCTACCTCAATACACTGTGTCATGTACAGCCAAAACTGTACACTTCTCATGGTGGTGGTCTCCAAGCTAGGTCCAAGGCAGAGCTGATGTCAGGGACCTGCCTTGAGAGGAAGGGGAAGGAGCTCTGTCTCAACTACTGCTGCTTGGGCAACTTGCTGACACCAGAGTCCTGAAAAAATTAGCTTAGCAGCAGGCAATATCCGAGCCAAGAAAAGGCAGATCAGCAGCTGCTGGAAGCAGAAACTCCTTCGCAAGTTCTGGTCCTCTCTGTTATCACCCAAGCTGCTTTCCTGACTTTTAGCAACAGCTTTTTGTTAATTAGGTCATGCGTGGCCATTGTATGTGAAGTGCTACACGATCCAGTAGGAACAGTGTTTTGTGCCGGAGTCTTTTCACTCCTTAAGTCTCTCTTTTTCTTTGCTCTTCAGGTTATGCTGAGACAGAAGGAGGGACTTGGAGAGGGAAGATTAACCTTTCACTGGCCACAATTCGTTCCCTCTTATCAGGGAGGATTTGGCAACCCTCCCCCCTCCCATCCAGCCTATCTGTCTGAATTGCTGAAAGCATAATGCTCCCATATGAGAGATAAGTAAGTGAGCTCTCTTTCTTTTCCATAGGGATGAACTATAGTGTATGCAGATTATGAGGAGAAGAAAATAATATCAGAGAAAGGTGGCTTTCTTAAAAGGCATCGGTAGCATTAGTGTCATGTGTGAAACACCCATTTGTGACAACTGTACAGATCTTTCAACGGAAAATTGTGCCGTGCTACCTTTTAAAGTATGAAATGCTAATTTTGGATTTACAGTTTTTGAACTGGAGGGCTGTATTTTGCATGGAATTTTGTTTAATTTCCCAGTGAAAAAAGGCATTTGAAACACAACTGCCTACAGCCAACTGTCAACAAAAATCAACTGTAATAACACGCAGCCTGTCACTGATTTATGTGGTGATGTGGTAATCTTCTCAATTTAGCTGGATATTTCTTCTTCATACCAAATAGCTGAAAGTCTTGCTAGACATTTATGAATATAGGAGGTACTATTAGGATGATAATGGGGCAAGATTAAAGAGGTGTTCACTAGTTCAAAGTGCCAGTTAAAGAGACAGAGAATTGAGAGGTATGGATATATATGGCCCATTGGTATAAGTGAACTTTATATTTTCAGAGTTGCTTAAGATTTGGGAGACAGCATATTGAGATCCATCTGCCATGAGAGCATCTTTCTAAAGGGAAACTGGGGGGAGCAGCTATACACACTCCCCCCCTAAAAAGTCTGCTTTTGTTTAGGAGGGGATGGGTTGAAAATATTGAAGATGAAGCAAATGGGTATGAGTGATGTTAGGGCAAAACAGGGTTCTGAGACTCTTCACCCTTTTCTCTGAAGGTTTGAGCTTTGGACATGGTCACTTTGCACCAGGCTGTGTCTCAGCAAGAACTGGCAAGTAAGATATCACACGCTGCGCATTACAGCTAAGAAAAGTAGTTGGCCTCTCATAAAAGAGCTAGAACTAATGCAGACAAAACGATGCTGCAAGACTTGAGCTGCAAATAAAGAGACAAGTTTGTGTTTTACAAAAATGTATAATTTACCAGGCATTTCATTATGCTGTATAAAAAGGCAAAAATGATAATTGAAAATAAATGTGGCTGCCTAGCTACAGTATATGCTGCCAGCGTTACTGTAAATAGAAGCGCTTTCTTGCTGAAGATAGTTGAAATTTTGATACAACTTCTGTCTGCAGATTTGTGTAATGTATCTCGTTAAATTTGTTTCAGTTTGGGTATTTGTTGCAGAGAAGCAGGCAAAATGTGAAGCTCTGTCTGTGTATTTCTATACTGAGGGGTTTATAGGACTACATTCATTATTAACACCGTACCCTGCAGATGCACGCATCTGTGGAGTCTGAGAGAGGATACATGTTGGTGAGTGTATTTCAGGGTAGGCAAAGTACACCAGATACCTTTAAGTTTGCCAAAGATATTCCATGGCAAACTCCTGTCTTCCAAGGAACATGGTTACAAATACACATTCACCAAAGCAATGTTGTAGGGTTATTTTTCCCTGAAGCAAAGGGAACTTTGCCATTTTTCACAGGCAGCATGCAAAGATGGGGCTACTTGGGGGTGCTGAGAATTACTGAAGAAGGAGAAAATGGGTCCATGAATTGTCATTGCTTCTGCTTTGAAAGCTTCTTTCTGGCCCCTGTCATCCTTTGGGTAAGAGCAATTTGCCACAGACACATTGCCCATCTGTGTCCTAATGTCTGCCTGGTGCTCTCTACATGCAAAATGGGAATCTTTCCTGAGGGAGTTTTTTTTCTGGGGGGGAAAAACCCCTTTCCTGGATAGAGATATTTTCCTATGATACTTTTAATTTCTCAGTACAGGGAGCAGCAAATGGCTTTAGGCTCACTTCATGGTGCCTGCTCATGTCCTGCAGCAGCAAAAGGCTGTGCAGGTTACCCAAGTTATGAGTGAAGCTACTGAGTTTCCATTAGCTGTGGAATTAAGCTAAAAAAGCAAAGGTAAGAGGCCTTGCCTTGACAGAAAGAGGCTTGACACCACCAAACTGGCTTTGGAGGCCAGGAAGGTAGGGTCAGAGAGAAACAGGAAACACAATGAGTTGCTTGTTGGGACTCCCATACCACAGATCCCCCAAAAGGATAGATGCAATAGGAACACCATGGACCAAGCACTGGGAAATAAACTGAACAGGAGGAAAATTATATTTACATGTGTGTGTTTAGATCCAATGTTTAAAATTATCTTTTTTTGTTAAAGTTTAGTTCCCATTTGGACTCTTTTTTTTATCTATAGACTCAGCTGGGCTGCATTGTTCAGACAGTCATGGTTGTGTTTGGATGGGTCAGGCCCTCTGAATTCACTTGGCCTTCAAGCAAAAAACTCATCATGAATAATGAAAGAAAAGGAAAATAATGCCTGAGACAGAATGACTTTAAAAATGATTAATATCTATTCTTTCCCTCATAATTTGCCTCCAGACTTTTCCCTTTTCAAGATAGCTTGCCATTAGCAGTTGAACTTCCAATAGTCAGTACTTTGATGGAACTGGTGCTCTAAAGCCAAAGAGAACATTATTATTATTATTATTATTATTATTATTATTATTATTATTATTTTATGAAATCAAGGTTCATTTTGACAAGTTCAAAGCCCCAGATGAATACAGGAAGGGCCGAGTTCTGCCCTCAACCACATCTAGTTTGCTCAAATTGGCCACTTGAAACACAGCAATGTTTGCCAGAGACATACTGAAATTCTTGAGACTATGGAGGGGTAAACACCACTTTCAGGTTCCCATCCAATAACTGCTTATAGAAAAGCACAGTGCAGAGCATCACAGAGGGGATTTGTGGTGAGAAAGGAACAGGATATATCAGGGATGCAACTGATGGCCACTTGAGTAGCTCAGCGTCTCTCAGGGGCTGCCACTCAGATTCCCAATGTTTTGTCTCAGGCAGGAGATTTCTTTTCTCCAAAGGCTTTTATTAAAAGCTAGTTCAGGTAAATGCTGACAATAAGCAAGCAAACCTGTTGAGCCCCGTGTCCACAACTTGCCAGGCAAGAGGATGCTTCTCTGTGACATTAAAGAGAGCTAACAACTGAAGGAAATATTGCATGTTTTGCCCTTTCTATTTAAAGTAACAGTAAGAAAGCACTGCTTTTGCAATTGCATTTAAGTTCATTGCCAGCACCTCCCATCCCCAGCCTCTAAAGGCTCCCAGCTACCTCTCATTAAAGGAACCCTTTCCTATAGTGCCCTGGCCATGATTTTGAAATAACCCAAAGTAGCTCCAACCCCCAAAGCAGCTCCACACCACTATGTAGGGTATGCTGAGTCAGGGCTGGGATGAATGCAGAGCAATTATAACCAATGAGCTGAAGGAAGTTAATTAGTGTATTCCAAGCACCTGTGGAGCTCTTTCCACAGTTTGAGCTTCTGTTTTCTCCCCCAGCACACAGCTCTATTGCACTTTGCTTCACCTTCCATCTGAGCATCTCCATCCAGCCACATGGATGTCATTTGTTGTCTTGGCCTATCCTGAATTTTGGGTAAGTCTTTGTGTTATTCCTGAAGTTTTACAGCTTTGTAGCATGACAGTGCTTTGGGTTTTGATGAGATGAAAAGCAGAGATAGTTTCATGGTTGTAGGACCTGAAGTTGCTTCCTTCCATGGCAGTTGCAAGGTGGAGTAGTTGCTTGATGTGAAAGATGATGGTTTTGTCTTTTTGTGGCAAGATTGTTTTACTTTTTAATCCCTTCACACACATGTATGTTTATTTCCTGTTACATGGTTCTGCTTTGTTGGCATGTTTAACCTTTAGATGCCTGTACACATGTATTGCCTCTCGTGACTCTTAGCTGACTCTTAGCTGTGGATAGCAGCAAGGTTTTGTGGGAATTGGTACTTCTTAGGAAAGTCAGATTTTTTGATTTCCTGTCAAAATTGTGAATGATGGTTTTGTTTGTAAGGGTGAGACATGCCAGTTCTGCGAGCATGATGGTCTGTGCAGTACATGAAGTCAAAACTGTACTGTTGAGTACATGGCGTTTATCCGTGGTTAAAACAGGGATTGCCCCAGGTTTCTGCTTCATCCTTTTCCTGGTGTGTCTGGTCCTGGAGTATGGTTGGACAACAAAAGGTGCATCTTTTCTTCTAGGGCTGCAGTTTCAGAGCAGGGTTAACACAGGCTTCAGGTGTTCCAGCTAAACTCGTTTGTGAGCTTGTGGTCACAGCTGAACTCCATTACACCACCGAAGGGTAAAGGATGGCTGCAGAGTACTGAGTTGCTACGAGAACTTTCTGTGCCTTTTGAATCAGGCTCTGTATTAATTATCTCTGCCTGTGCTAAGGGGTGGAACGAGGCCTTTTAATGTATGCCAGGGGATAAAGCTACTTGTGTTGCCCACTGAAAGCATGGCAATCTCAACTTAAATGTCTGAATCTGTGTCAGGTGCCCTATTACAGGCACTTTAGTGGCTCAGGGGAGCAAGGCTTATATAGCATAAACCCCCTCCCTAAAGATCCCTCTGATACCAGGGGTTTCACCTGCAGCATAGAGCAGTCTGGGTTTTAAGATGTAAATATACACTTGTATATTATCTACAGATATAATTGAAAGTATATTCAAATCCACACACCTGGGCTGCCTCCCTGGCATGCATAAGTATTCTCTGCATGCGTATGTGTGTTCCCTGCAATCTACACTGCACATTAATATGACAATCCATATATTGTGTTAGGACATGCTGTATGCAGACAGTGCTCCAGGTACTGAATTTTTATATATATATATATATATTTTTGTAAACCCTGAAATATGGCTGATATGGTCCACTGCAAAATGAACCTATATTGGAAATGGCAAAATTGTAATGTAAAATATACTGGGGTCAGTGGGGTGTGATGTTTTTTGCATACATTTTTTCTCCCTTGACCCATGCCATTCTCCCTCATATAAGGCGAAAAAAGCTTCATCTCACACAGAAATGTGATGTCCTTTACTGCCAGAGGCTCTTGCTGTTTTAAATGAGGAAAAAGCACAATGCATGAAGAAGGAAAATTAAAGCATATTCATTTTGGAAATTAGATACGGTGTCAGGAGACTCTCTGGAAATAGCAGGGTTTGAATGGAGCACCAGACTACAAGACAGTTCACTGAACTTTTGACCACTATTTATACTATGGGAGCTTTTGAAATGGGAAGACAGCAAAGTATTTTATAGCTGTTTAATAGCGGATTGTGGTTTTTACTAGACATTTATCTTCCCTTGGAGTGTATATAAGATAAGTAAACATTATGTAGTGTAATTGCGTTGTGTTGGAGGCACTTTAATTTAGGGTTGGTTTATTTTCCCTGTTTGTGGTACATCTCATCTCAAGCAGCAATGTTGCCTGCCTCTGTGAGTGCTTGCACTTGCCACCTAAATGCCTGACCCATCCTGGGATCTGAAAGGGAGCTCCTGGGATCTAAGGATTGATGGTTACGTATTGGGCAAAGTATTACATCTAAAGCAGGGTTGGCTGTGGCCCTGGATGCTTTGGGAAGCTCATGTAACTTCTAGCACCAGGCCTGACTCAATCTCTCTCTGATTCTATATAATGAAAATCAGTTTAATCTCATATAGGGCTTCAGTCCCTCTTTAACATTCCAAGTACACTGAGCATTACACCCTTCCAGGGTTGGCAGCTATCTCATTACAATTGTAATGATGCATCACCAGGCAGACATGCATGAATGAAACGCTGTTTGCAAAACCAAAAATGTGTTTGGGGTATTTTTAGGTCCTATTAACTTGGGCTGTTGTTCATGGAAATAATGTGGAAAGATCAGAATTTTGATGTAATCCAGAAAACGTTGTCTCGGAGCAGTTTTTAGCCCTTTAGTCAACTCTTCTTTCCCTTCTCCCTTTTCTTTCTGTCTACGTAAATTTAGCTTGAGTTGGCATGGGGAAAGTTGCACTGTGGCACTGGGTGCCAGTCTTCTGCGAGGGAAGTGCTCTGGAGAAGGAGCTGCTACCATCAAATAAGCCATCTCCTGTAGCTGAAGGTTCAAATGGAGTTGTGCTATACTGTGATAGCTGCACATGGTGCTATTTCCGTTTTACATTTACCCTTTTTTTTTCCCCTGGAGATGATTATAAAATGGCTCTGTTAGTGCTTAAAACTGTGAACACTACAGTAAAGCCTTTTTTTTTCTTTTTCTATTTTTATGTGATATTTGGAAAGTTTAAAGCTGATGGACATCCATTGTGTAGTCCCTTTGTCTGCTGTTACTTAGCCTTCCGTACAGTATAGCCTATGTGGGAAGGAAAAAAAGATTCTCCTTCTGCCATGGAAGATGCTTTTCTTCCTTGGACTAGAAGCTCCTCTCCTATCACTAGCCAGTAACAACCCTTCTGTTCATCCTTATGTCAAAGCCACACTACTGAGCTAATAGAGATCGCTGACAATTAGAGATGAGCTGAAATGATTTGGCAAACTCCGGGTGCTTGTGAACCTGAGGGTGTTCTCAGATCCCTACAAGCCTGTCGGGTGTATTGCCAGCCGTGTGCTTCCCACGTCCCCCGTCCTAATAGGGAGAGCAGTTGGGACGTTGAGTCCAGCTGGGCCCGGAGGTTGGAGAAGAATGAGAGGGGGAGTCTATCAAGATGCAGCTCTTCCCTGCTGAGAGATGCAGCTCTTCCTTGCTCTTCCCTGCTTCCCCTCCTGGCTGCTCTTTGTTGCTTCTCCTTGCCAAGACGTCCCAGGCACTGTCAGGTTTCTTCTCCCTGTGTGAGATGGATGTGACAAGATCCCAGGGTGGCTCTCTGTCTTTTGCTTGTGAGTAGCTAGATGGGCCATATCTGGAGATGCCACTTGAACAGACAAGACAGACAATGCATAAGATAATGTTTTAAAAGGAGCACAAATTCCCTATTGGCAAATGCCTCGTCAGGTTTTCCATTTGGTTTGTTTCCTCCCTTTTCTAATGGCTTTTCTTTGTATTTTTTTTGTCCTCTGGTCTTATGAAGCATTTCTATCCTGTGCTCCCCAGCTGATTAAGACAATATCATGAAATACCTTGAGACCCTATTTATGCCTGAACTTATAGTGCAAGTGGTAATTTTGGATGGTTTCCTTACTTTTCATTCAGTTTTAGACTGTTTGAAGGTAACAACCTGAAACAATAACCCAAGTAACCATAGTTGAAAAAGCAACCAATATTAGCATACTGCGAGCACGTCTTCACATTTAGAGTATGTAATGAGATGGTCTATCACTAGAAAAGGTGACTGATTGATGGCTAAGCTATGGTCAGCAGCTTTTCATCAGGAACATGATTTCCACCTTGAAAAACTGAATTTACCTTTCATGCTCATCACAGACCTGGACCAGCCAAGAAAGCTTTGCTCAGTCCCATCTAACTATTTGTGGTAATATGGAGAGAAGCTGGTTCCCCAGCCTCATTAGGGAGCTGTGCTGCAAGAAAACTGCTTAGGGAATTGTTGTAAATCACTTGAATCCCGTGAAACTGAAATGAAGAGGTGTATTTTCATTATATTATTTTATTTTTTTAAGGCCCCAGGGTCTCTTTCTTTTTCATCATGGTATGGAAACCTGTACTTCAGCCTTCCCATCTGCCAGCATGTCTACTGGGAGGACTTTGGAAGTATCTTCTCCTGAAGCCCAGTAAAACTTTTAACCTGCACCACATGCAAACTTGCGTCTATTAAATAGTAGTGGTGAAGAGCATCAGGTGGCCAAACTGCAGAAATTGGCAAGTTTTGATACGTGGGGATATGAAATATACCCGCCTATCTTCCAGAAACAAAGAGAGGGACCATGCTGACAGTTAGATCTTTATCCTACATGACCATACATGCTTTGCTGTAGAAAAACATAGAAAACCAGACCAGAGCAAAGGCACAGAGGTAATCAAACAGGAAAACAAAAGACTTGGCCTCATCGTTTGCATCGTAGACCATGTGAACAAGTTAAACACAAGTTCTTTGTGTGCAAGAAGAGATAACAGATCCACATTAATTTTAGAGCTGATTGCCATTCTTTATTAATAGAAATGTAATGCAGTGCCAATGCCAAGTCCTGCCAGCCTTTCCTTTTTATCTTCCTTTTCAAACATAGACAGCATTGAAGGTCTGATCGTTGATCCCCTATTTATTTAGGAGCTGGTTGTTAAGCCAGGGGACAGCAATGGCACCTTGTCATGGCTGAGGTGATGATGTCTTGTCAGCAAACACTGTAAATAGCACTTGGAGATTTTTTTTCTCTGAGGCTGAAAATAGTTTCTGTAGAATAATGCTAATTCAATATAGTTTCATAAATTGAAAAGAATTGAATGAATGACAGTAGATTTGTGAATAATTTGCAAATTGAAACAGTGATAGAATTCGTCAATGTGTTCTCTATTAATAGTTTGCTCTGCTTTACATAGCTGCTGAGCAGTCTCGGTTCTGGGGTGGTTTTTTTTTTGAGGAAAAACTGGATGCTTCTTATTATTTTTGTTATTTTAATGCTCTTTTTTCAATTCTAAGGGCCATTGTTTACTTTT